TATATTTTCAGCTGCTTGTGCGTTTTCTGAGAAGGACATAACAAGTATTGAACATCATCAAGCCAGTAATAACGATTTGAACACCAGTAAGAAGCATGCAACTGAGATGCATCCAGAAAAGTATCAGGGTAGTTCTGTTTCAAACTTGCATGTGGAGCCATGTGGCAAAAATACTCGTGCCAACTCATTACAGCATGAGAACAGCAGTTTATTACTCACTAAAGACAGAATGAATGTAGAAAAGGCTGAATTCTGTAATAAAAGCAAACAGCCTGGCTTAGCAAGCAGCCAACAGAGCAGATGGGCTCAAAGTAAGGAAACATGTAATGATAGGCAGGCTCCCAGCACTGAGAAAAAGGTAGATCTGAGTACTGTTCCCCCATATGGGAGAAAAGAACGGAATAAGCAGAAACCTCCATGCCCTGAGAGTCCTAGAGATACCCAAGATGTTCCTTGGATAACACTAAATAGCAGCATTCAGAAAGTTAATGAGTGGTTTTCCAGAAGTGATGAAATATTAACTTCTGATGACTCACATGATGGGGGGTCTGAATCACATGCTGAAGTAGCTGGTGCATTAGATTTTACAAATGAAGTAGATGGATATTCCACTTCTTCAGAGAAAATAGACTTACTGGCTAGTGATGCTCCTGATCCTATAATACGTAAAAGTGAAAGAGTTCACTCCAAACCAGTAGAGAGTAAAATCGAAGATAAAATATTTGGGAAAACCTATCGGAGGAAGGCAAGCCTCCCTAACTTGAGCCATGTAACTGAAAATCTAATTATAGGAGCAGTTGCTACTGAGCCACAGATAACACAAGAGCATTCCCTCACAAATAAATTAAAGCGTAAAAGGAGAACTACATCAGGCCTTCGTCCTGAGGATTTTATCAAGAAAGCAGATTTGGCAGTTGTTCAAAAGACACCTGAAAAGAGAAATCAAGAAACTAACCAAATGGAGCAGAATGGTCAAGTGATGAATGTTACTAATAGTGGTTATGAGAATGAAACAAAAGGTAATTATGTTCAGAAAGAAAAAAATCCTAACCCAACAGAATCACTGGAAAAAGAACCTTCCTTCAGAACAAAAGCTGAACCTATAACCAGCAGTATAAGTAATATGGAACTAGAATTAAATATCCACAATTCAAAAGCACCTAAAAAGTATAGGCTGAGGAGGAAGTCTTCTAGCAGGCATATTCATGCACTTGAACTAGTAGTCAATAAAAATCCAAGCCCACCTAATCATACCGAACTACAAATCGATAGTTGTTCTAGCATTGAAGAGATAAAGGAAAAAAATTCTGAACAAATGCCAGTCAGGCACAGCAGAAAGCTTCTACTCATGGAAGATAAAGAACCTACAATGGGAGCCAAGAAGAGTAATAAGCCAAATGAGCAAATAAGTAAAAGACATGCCATTGATACTAACTGTTCAAGTTCTAACAAACTTCAAGAATTTGTCAATCCTAGCCTTCAAATAGAAAAAACAGAAGAGAACTCAGAAACAATTCTGGCATCTGATAGCATCAAAGACCCCAAAGATCTGGTGTCAAGTGGAGAAAGGGTTTTCCAAACTGAAAGTGGAGAAAGATCTGTAGAGAGTACCAGTATTTCACTAGTACCTGATACTGATTATGGTACTCAGAACAGTATCTCATTACTGGAAGTTAACACCCTAGGGAAGGCAAAAATAGCACCAAAACGTGTGAGCCAGTGTGCAGCCATTGAAAACCCCAAGGAACTAATCCATGGTTGTTCTAAAGATACTAGAAATGACACAGAGGGCTTTAAGGATCCATTGAGACATAAAGTTAACCACATTCAGGAGCCAAGCATGGAAATGGAAGACAGTGAACTTTATACTCAGTATTTACAGGATACATTCAAGGTTTCAAAGCGTCAGTCATTTGCTCTGTTTCCAAATCCAGGAAATCCAGAAAAGGAATGTGCAACAGTCTGTGCCCACTCTAGGTCTTTAAGGAAACAAAGTCCAAAAGTCA